AACTGCAGTGAGCTATGATGTGTGCCACTGCACTCCAACCTGGGTGACAGAGCAAGGCCCTGTCTCTTAAAAAAAAAAAAAAAAAAAAGGGGCGGCCGGTAGCTCAAGCCTGTAATCCCAGCACTTTGGGAGGCCGAGACGGGCGGATCACAAGGTCAGGAGATCGAGACCATCCTGGGGGCTAACACCGGCGGAAACCCCATCTCTACTAAAAACCACCAAAAAATTAGCCGGCGGATCGACCTCCTGGGCTCAAGCAATCCTCCCATCTCAGCTTCCCGAGTAGCTGGGACCACAGCTGTGCACCACCATGCCCTGCTAATTTTTTTTTATAGAGAGAGAGATGGGGTCTCCCTATGTTGCCCAGGTTAGTCTTGACCTCCCAGCTCAAGCAGTCCTACCACCTCAGCCTCCCAAAGTGCTGGAATTACAGGTATGAGCCACTGCACCCGGCCTATATTTTCCCTTTTCAAAGATATGCTCATGTTATTCAATTTCCACAATGTAGGCCTGACATGGTGGCTCACGCCTGTAATCCCAGCACTTTGGGAGGCTGAGGCAGGTGGATCACGAGGTCAAGAGATTGAGACTATCCTAGCTAACACAGTGAAATCCCGTCTCTACTAAAATTACCCATTGGGATGGTGGCGGGCGCATGTAGTCCCAGCTACTTGGGAGGCTGAGGCAGGAGAAGGCCGTGAACCCTGGGAGGCAGAGCTTAACAGTGAGCCAAGATCACGCAACTGCACTCCAGACTGGGGAGACAGAGTGAGACTCCGCCTCAGAAAAAAAATAAATAAGATAAATTTCCACAATGTAACAATAACAATAATAAAAAGGAAACCAGGGGCCGGGCGCAGTGCTCACGCCCATTAATCCCAACACTTTGGGAAGCCGAGGTGGGCAGATCACCTGAGGTTGGGAGTCGAGACCAGCCTGACTACCATGGAGAAACCCCATCTCGACTCTACCAAAAATACAAAATTAGCTGGGAATGGTGGCACATGCCTGTAATCCTAGCTACTTGGGAGGCTGAAGCAGGAGAATCGCTTGAATCCGGAAGGCAGAGGTTGCGGTGAGCCAAGATCGCACCATTGCACTCCTGCCTGGGCAACAAGAGCAAAACTCCATCTCAAAAAAAAAAAAAAAAAAAAGAAGCAGGGTGTTGTGTTGTAGTCCTAGCTACTTGAGAGGCTGAAGACTGGGACAGGATCTGTTAGAGCCCAGGAGTTTTGACACCAGGCCTGGAATAACATAGGGAGCTGAGGAGCTACGTCTGAGTACACATAACTCGCTGTTCACTGGAGGTATGAGGAAGTAGTCCTTTTCCTGATAACCTGGTTTGAGTTCCTCATGTCTTGTTTATATTTTTCCTCAGTGGAACTCCTCTCATACTCACTAACAGCACTTAGGCTGGATTATACATATGGTAATTACTTTGTTTGTTGCAAAAGAGTATAAGTAAATACATATCAAGACCAATGCAATCTAATCAACAAGACTCCCACTGGAGGAAAATTTACAAGCAAACGTGGCAATGTAGCAGTAGTGATCTTCTTCATCGCTCCAATACATGCTCCCCTGTAGCGCATAAAATGTGGATGTGAGCCCTACAGAGTTGATGGTATCGTCCATGGAAGAGGCTCCAGGATTATTCGGATTCTGCCCCAGTTGCTCTGTCATAATTACAGAGGATGAGTGCAGGAGATCGTGCGGACCTTCGCTTGGGGGAGAAATGGCCTTGGTTAGAAAGACGATATTCTGGAATCTGGTTTGCTGGTATTCTGTTCGTGTTCCATTGCATCTAACTCAGGCTCCAGTGTACTAGCAGAATCGGACTTCCCTGCACTATGTGACATTTCGTTACAGTATTTGTGCTTTTTAAATAAATGGACAGAATATGTACGTTTAATAAGAAGCTGGGCGTTGGTGGCTCACACCTGTAATCCCAACTACTATTTTGGTAGGCCAAGGCAGGAGGATCACTTTGAGTCCAGGTTGTCCAGGAGTTTGAGTCCCAGCCCTGGGCAATCCGTAATGTGAGGGTACCCCTGTCTCTTCCTTTTCTTTTCTTTTGTCTGTTCTTTTTTTTTTTTTTTTTTTAGACAGAGTCTCATTCTGTTGCCCAGTGCTGGAGTGCAGGGTATAATCTCAATAGCTCGCTGCATACCTCCGCCTCCTGGGTTCAAGTGTTAATTCTCCTGCCTCAGCCTCCCCAGTAGCTGGATTTACATGGTGCCTCACCTGTTCCACATCCAACTAATTTTTTTGTATTTTTAATAAAGATGGTGTTTCACCATGTTGGCAGGCTGGGTTCTCGAACTCCTGACCTTCAAGTATTCCATCCCACCTTGGCTCTCTTCAATGCGCTGAGAATTTACAGTTGAGCCACTGGGCGTGGTGGCAGGCATCTGTAGTCCCAGCTACTCAGGAGACTGAGGCAAGAGAATCACTTGAACCTGGGAGGCAGAGGTTATGATGAGCCAAGATCGCACCATTGCACTCCAGCCTGGGCAACAAGAGTGAAACTCTGTCCTTAATTATTCTCAACAAGAGTAGAAGTGCTGACTGTTGACTGTGACCTATGAAAGGTTTCCCAGATAATCCAAAATAATTCCCAAAGCTGCCAGCATTCTAGATACTGGTTCTCCATAATGGAATAAGGAAAATCGTTTTTATTATTATCACTTAACATTGTGGAAATTGAATAATATGAGTGTATCTTTGGATGGGGAAAATATCAAATATAACCTGGGTAATAGAGTGAGACCCTGTCTCTACAGAAACATCAAAGAATTAACCAGGTGTGGTGGTGCATGCCTGTAATTTCAGCTATTTAGGAGGCTGAGGCAGGAGGATTGCTTGAGCCCAGGAGGCAGAGGTTGCAATGAGCCAAGATCATGCCACTGCACTCCAGCCTGGGTGACAGAGCAAAACCCTGTCTAAAAAAAAAAAAAAAGAAAAATAATATATATACATATATATATATGCATATATATACGAATCTCTATTTAAGGAATATATTAGCTTTGGCCAGACATGGTGGCTCATGCCTGTAATCCCAGCACTTTTGAAAGAACAAGGTAGGAGGATTGCTTGAGGTCAGGAGCTTGAGACCTGCCTGGGCAACAAAGTAAGACCCCATCTCTATAGAAAAATCTCTGTGCTTCTATTTTTTAGGCACAAAGTTTGAGTAAAAAGCTAATGAAACTCTTCTTCTATGGACAAATTTGACCTTGGGTTAACTTTCTAACTCTGCTCCCAAGAAACTTGATAAAGTTGGAAGATCAGTTAGGTTGCTGGGCAATGTTCCCTATGGGAAAAATTATGCTTGACTTGTAAATTGCATCTGTGAATGAACCATAAATACCAGGAAGGAAGACATAACTTTGAACTTCTTGCACACAGCTCTTATAACTAGGCTAGGAACCGCTAACCTCATAGGCTTCTTCAGGAGATGTTGGTTCCTCTGTGGAGCTTAGGGCTGCTAAACCAAGCTGTTAGTTGTGGGGTGCAAAGAGAATATTTGTTGACTTCTACAGTGTGTCAGGCACTATGTTAGATAACAGGCATTCAAAGAGGAACAAAGTCAACAAGACTCTAATCTTTCTTCATAGACAAAAAACATCCAGGGGACTGAAATTCCAGAGTGGAATATTATGTCTGAAAATTTATCAAAAAGAATAATTCTTCCTGCTGAATTTTTGATAAGTCTTCCCACTCTAAGCCAAAGAAGACCACATCTGCCCTAGGATTTTTAAATGCTAGGAGATCATGCCATCCTTGCTTGCTGGTTCAAGCTGGGTTTAAATCACTCCTGCTCTTTCTCCATGTTGTTGATTTTTGTTTGTTTGCTTTATTTTACCCTTACATCCACCTTTAATCTAAACCTCTTTTATAGGACAAGTGAAGAGAAAATAATAGAACTAGAACATTCAACTCCATATGGAAAATCATACCCATGGATCTTTTTGGCATTATGAAGAATGAAGCTAAGGACAAGGGACTTCATTAGACATATCATCCTTGGAGAGGAAGTAATCAACCTTTACTTCCCAAAGTGTTTGTTCTGCATAATAGGCTCTCAAAAAATGTGTGGTAAATTGCATTTCTCTTCACTATGCTGTATTCTGTCAATGCTTATCCCTGGAAACCCAAAACGTGACCACTGCAAATATTTCCTTGACTTTTTGTAAATGAAGAGGTCCTTTACCTCAAGTTCTTAGTCCCACTCATCCTAAACTTGCCCCCTTTTTTTTTAAGACAGGGTTTCACTCTGTCACCCAACTGGAGTGTAGTGGTATGATCATAGCTCACTGCAGCCTCAAATTCCAGAGCTCAAATGATTCTCCTGCCTCAGCTTCCCAAACTGCTGGGATTACAGGCATAAGCCACTGCAACCAGCCATAAACTTGCTCTTCTTTTTTCTTTTTTTTTTTTTTTTTTTTTTTTTGGAGAATTGGAGTCTTTGCTTTTGTCGGGCCCCAGGCTGGGAGTGCCTAGTGGCACGATCTCGGCTCTACTGCAAGCTGGTGCCTTCCTGGGTTACAGCATCTGCCTGGCCCTCAGTCCTTCCCAAGTAGCTGGCGACTAACAGCCGAAACCCACACCTCAGCGCCGGGTAATTTTTTTGCTAGTATTCGGTTAGGAGACAGGGTTTCACTGTGTGGGCCAGCAATCGGGTCTCGATCTCCGGTGACCTCATTGATCCTCCACTTGGACGCCTTCCCAAAAGCCCTGCTGGGAGTTTACAGGTATTGAGCCACTGCGCCCTGGGCCTAAACTTTGCTCTTTAAACTCGACTCATGTCCCTTCACAACCATTAGCTTCCTTACTGGCCTTTTATTTCTTGCCTTTAGAAAACAGCGCCGTTAACTTACTTTTTTTTTTTCTTTTGAGATAATGAGTTGCGTCGCCTCTTGCTTGCCCCCAAGGAACTTGGAGTAGCATATGGTGCAAGTGCAACCTCCGCCTCCTGGGTTCAAGCGATTCTCCTGCCTCAGCCTCCCAAGTAGCTGGCATTACAGGCATGCACCACCACGCCCGGCTAATTTTGTATTTTTAGTAGAGACAGGGTTTCTCCACGTTGGTCAGGCTCGTCTCGAACTCCCAATCTCAGGTGATCCACCTGACTTGGCCTCCCAAAGTGCTGGGATTACAGGCGTGAGCCACCATGCCCGACCCAGGCTAACTTCTTTTTTTTTTGAGACTGAGTCTCACTCTGTCGCCCAGGCTGGAGTGCAGTGATGAGATCTAGGCTCACTGCAACCTCCGCCTCCTGGGTTCAAGTGATTCTCCGGCCTTAGCCTCCTGATAGCTGGGACTACAGACACATGCCCCCATGCCCAGCTAATTTTTGTATTTTTAGTGGAGACGGGGTTTCACCATGTTGGCCAAGCTGATCTCAAATTCCTGACCTCAAGCAGTGATCCACCCGCCAGGGCCTCCCAAGGTGCTGGGATTACAGACATAAGCCATCGCACCTGATGAGAGATTTTAAGTGTTCTCACCACCAAAAAAAATATATATACATTGTTATATGAGGTAATCATATATTGATTAGCTTGACTTAGTCATTCCACAATGTAGACATATTTCAGAACATCCTGTTGTACATGATAAATATATACATTTTTTGTCTATATAAAACAAATAAATGAATAAATATTTAAAGTGTAGAAGAGCCTGGACTCTAAATTATGCTGTCCCTCCAAATAAAAGTTTATTTTGCAAAAAGTAAAAAAATAATTAAAGAATGTAAGAAGATTAAGTGCATGCCCAAAAGTTCTAGTTCTATGGAACTTAATAAAAAAGGAATACATTTAAGAAGAAATTTTGCTGGATGATTTTTATTTTTCTTTAGCACCTGTCTGCTGTTGATGCTGGGTGATTTTTTTTTTTTAAGTCATCACTCTCAAAAGCCAAATTTGAGTCTTTGAAGACCACATGGGAGAAACAGCTCAAAGCACTGGGGAAAAAAGGCCAAAAGATTAAAATCTTGGAAGAATAAAAGGAAGACTGGGGTGTTTAATATGAGAATAATAGGGATTTTGAAAGAAAAGAGAGGACACGGCCAGGCACGGTGGCTCACGCCTGTAATCCTAACATTTTGGGAGGCCAAGGCAAGTGGATCACCTGAGGTCAGGAGTTCGAGACCAGCCTAGCCAACGTGGTGAAACCCCGTCTCTACTAAAACTGCAAATATTAGCCAGGCATGGTGGTGGGTGCCTGTAATCCCAGCTACTTGGGAGGCTGAGGCAGGAGAATCACTTGAACCTGGGAAGCAGAGGTTGCAGTGATTCAAGATCGCACCACTGCACTCCAGCCTGGGCAACAGAGGGAAAGACTCTAAGAAAGGAAAGGGGAGGGGAGGGGAGGGGAGGGGAGAAGGAAAGAAGGAATGAAGGAAAGAAAAGAGAGGACACATGTTCAGGCCCCTTCTATCCAAAAAGTCTCCCTTAATCTGCTTTCCTGCTACAATAGCCACTCTATCGCTCCTCCTCTTCACAGCCAAAATTCTAGAAAAAAAGGCCGAGTGTGGTGGCTCACGCCTATAATCCCAGCACTTTGGGAGGCCAAGCCGGGTGGATTACCTGAGGTCAGAAGTTCAAGACCAGACTGACCAACATGGAGAAAACCCCTCTCTGCTAAAAATACAAAATTAGCCAGGCTTGGTGGCTCATGCCTGTAATCCCAGCTACTCGGGAGGCTGAGGCAGGAGAATCACTTGATCCCGGGAGGTGGACGTTGCGGTGAGCCGAGATCGCGCCATTGCACTCCAGACTGGGCAACAAAAGCGAAACTCCATCTCAAAAAAAAAAAAAAAAAAATTCTAGAAAAAAGAAGTTGTTTCCACTGTGTGGCCTTCACTTCCTCCAACCTCCTCACTGTTCAACCACTGCAATTTAACTTCTGCTTCCAACACACCAAAGGATGAATCAACGTTCCAAATGCTTCCTCGGTGCAAAGTCCACTGGTTGTTTCTCAGTCTCACCAAACTTGACCATTGGGTCAACATCTGACTCCGTTGATCATTTTTTTTTCTTCTTGAAGCGTTCCCTTCTCTTGGCTTCCCTCATGCCACACTGTCCTCCTATAAGGACAGTCAAGTCATTCTGGTTTTCCCAGGACTTTCCCAGGTTTAGTACCAAAAGTCCCACAATCCAGGAGTCCCTCAGTTCCAGGCAAACCAGAACCATTTCGCAAACTCATCTTTGATGATGACACTCATCCCATAGCGTCATGGTAAGCTCACCACTGTAATCCTAGAACTTTGGGAGGCCGAGGATGGGAAGATCGTGAGGTCAGGAGTTCCAAGACCAAACCTGGCAATTAGGTGACACAACGTCTCTACTAAAAATACAAATTAGCAGGCATGGTGGCGGTAGGCCTGTAGTCCTCAGCTACTCGGGAGGCTGAGGCAGAAGAATCCACTCGAACCCTGGAGGTGGGAGGTTACAGTGGGCGACACAGCAAGACTCCATTAAAAAAAAAAAAAAGAAGAAGAGTGAGGCAGAGAAGAACAAGATATGCTAAAAGATGTGTTATTGATGGGCGCAATGGCACACATCTGTAGTCCCAGATACTCGGGAGGCGAAGGCAGGAGGATCGCTTGAGCCCAGGAGTTCAAAGGTTGCAGTGAGCTGTAATTGCACCACTGCACTCTAGCCTGGGCAACACTGTGGAGAACCTGTCTCTGTAATTTTTTTTTTTTTTAAGGCAGAACTCGCGTCTGTTGTCCAGGCTGGAGTGCAATGGCATAATCCCAGCTCACTGCAACCTTCCCTCCTGGGTCAAGCAAATCTCCTGCCTCAGCCTCCTGAGTAGCTGCGATTATAGGCACACATCACCACGCCTGGCTAATTTGTATTTTTAGTAGAAATGGGGTTTTGACATATAGCCCAGGCTGGTCTGGAACTCCTGGGCCTCAAGTGATCCACCCCGCTTCGGCCACCCAAAGTGCTGGGATTACAGAGTGGCCCACCACACCTGGCCAGAGACGCGGTCTCTCTAAAAAAATTTTTTTTAATTAACCAAAAATGTGTTTAGGTTGAGCAGGCTCTGGGCAGGTGGAGCTTTACCCAGTGGGGACTTTCAAGGAGATAATGTGGGAACATGCATCTCAGAGTCGTCTCTCCTGAGGAACGAGGGAGCTGGGAGGGAGATGGAGTTGCAGTGAGCCAAGATTGCGTACCATTGCACCCACTGCACTCACTCCAGCCTGGGCAACGGAGCAACTCTATCTCAAAAAAAAAAAAAAAAAAGAAAAGAAGGTAGCTGTAGAAAGAGAATCAACAGTGGGAGGCACAGATGGAATCTTGAATCCCAGTTGTGCCACTTACCCACTAAATGACAATGGACAAGCCATGAGACCCCGGGGCCTCAGTTTGCCCAGGTATAAATGGGGTTGGTTAGCCAGGGTGTGGCACACACCTGTAGCCCCAGCTACTTGGGAGGCTGAGGTGGGAGGATCATTTGAGCCCGAGAGGTTGAGGCCACAGCAAGCTATGATTGCACCACTGCACTCCAGCTTGGGTGACAGATTGAGATTCTGTCTTTAAAAAAAAAAAAAAATGGGGACTGGGCACAGTGGCTTATGCCTGTAATCCAGCATTTTGGAGGCTAAGGAGACAGATCACTTGAAGTCACGC